AGATTACATTGTCGGTAAACGTAAAGTATTGGTGCCCTTCCCTTTGAGCTTATCCATGCAAGTTTAATTTAGTGAAGACAAAATTTGTAAAAATTTAATTTACCCTTTTGATTTTTCCTATCAATAATTTCCTTTTTGGGAAGGGCTCCATAATACTTTACAATTACCACATTGTCATTACACCACAATTTGAAAGGATGATTTTCCCCTTTCCCTCCATCCTGGACACCTCTGTAAGTTGGACACATTATCGTGGAACTGCAAGTGTCCAAGTTAGAGAGGTTTTACTGTATCATGTCTCCTTCCTAAGTATACTGATGTATGAAGATAAGAATTTCACTTTACAAAAGACATTAATACTCAATTAATTTGTTTACTTATACACATATGTAATAAAACCTGATATTATTTTTAATATCTGAATGCACAAAACAGAAGAAAAACAACTGTAATCTGTTACCAATGCAGTTTTTTCTAATTCCATCAGTAGAGACATGATACACTGATCATACACAGCACAATTCACAACATAAGAACAGAATAAATGCAAACTACCGTGCAAAAGTTCATTTACATAGCAAGCAGATGGTATAAAAACTGGAGTCATGATGTTCTACGGATTTACAATATTCAATAGAAAAGTGATGACAGCAATATTGAAGTACACATGAATTGCGACCAGACACAAAATCAACAAGCAGCAATGAAGTATGTGCTAATTAACAGAAACCTATGTTAAAATGCTCTGTTATGGAAGAACAATCGAATAAACATCTGCTCAACCAGCGTTGAGAGCCGACACCATGCTGACTGGTAGGTCAAAGCTTTCGTATGGAAGCATCTATATATGTGGTATGGTACATCAAAGCCACAAACCTTTCTCATAAAATAGTTGTGTAAAAACCAAACCCTACAAATTATATATCACCCCACAATATCATTCTAAAATACATTATATCTCTGATATAAAAAATCTCCATTCGGTATCAAAGTGTTATGAATTATGATTTCACATACACAACAACTGCCTTGTCACCACCGCAAACACTCGGACAACATTCTCTTCTGGATTGATGCATGAAACTTTGTTGTTACAACATAACATGTATTGCACAAATGGCAATCTGGAACAGATGTAGTTTCACATTTTTTTAACTCAAGTTAGTATTTACATGTGGCAGTGAAGAATTATATTTTAATATATGGGAATTATGTAATTTCTACAGTTCACATTCCATTATGTTTCATGGTGAACCACCAAAACCAGAGTGTAATGAGGTGCAATTAAAAATTAATTCTTCAAAAATCAGAAGAAACTATATGTAGTGTAGCAAAGGAAATCATTTATAAGAACAATATTTTGTGCATGATGATGTATACAATATTCATTCAATTCTTAGTTGATTTATCACCACTTTCTCACCAGAAAAGTTTTAGTGTCAGATGGGAAGATATGAATGATCAACTGGGAAGGATGTGGAAGAAGCAGTCAATGCGTCTTTTCAAGGTAACTACTACAAAGGGCCTAAGGAAAATGATTAGAACCTCAATCACAATTGCCAGTCTCAGTGTTCAAGAATCAAAACCAGGGCCTCTGAAACATGAAGCAAGAATGTTAACTATTCAAATGCAACATTCAGTAATATACTTTCAATAAACATGATTGAATACCTAAAGGTATGAGCAATATTTCTGTTCAATAAAGTACAAATATAAACAAACATGAAACATTCTCGGGCTACAAACTGAACAGTGAACAAACCATATCTTCTGCCAATGTTTAGAAAACAATCTCTGTTCTCATTCTCAGTGTTGCTGGGTTACCGGTCCATTCCTTTGCTGCATGCTAGCTGATGGGAACTGTTTTCGAAATGTTGGCAGAAGATATGGTTTGTTCACCGTTCAGCCACCTGCTGCTGCTTGTAAACCAAGAATCTTTCATCGACTTCAGTCACGGCAAAAGCTTCACCTCATTCACAAACATATTTGGCACAAACTGTTTGTTAATATCTCTAAGTCAATGCCTACAGCCAAAATGCTTCCCTTTAATTACTTCAATGTACTTAATGTGAAGCACAAAACTTAAAATATAGTCTTTTGTGAACACAACTTTAATTTGGAATTTAATAAGGCAGGATGACAGCTTTTCACAAAACTTCTGATGTGTTACACTAACTGTGAAACAGCACTTATGGCAGCAACACTAACTGCAGAAAGTGTCAGTTATTCACATCCCAGCAATGTATACAAATCGCTGCTACTTTCTGCAGACTTTTTTGCAGTTCCATAAAATAATTCTTTTAATGGTGATACAATCCAAAGCCCAGTGCTAATGTATCAAGTGATTTAACAATCATGAACTCTGCATTTTGTATTTAAGGGTTTCATATGATTCTCAGTGTAAACAGGTAATATTTCCTTGATGTTATTAATTAGATGAGGCACAAAGTGAATTCTTAAATATTATTTAGAGGAGCTTTGGCTTCTAAGGTTTAAAAGAATGAATTTCTAAGAATAATTTGTCACAAAGTAGGAAGCAAAAGAAGAACAATGATCTTCTTTAACAGCAGACTCAGTCCATGAAATCTCGTCTTTGAAAGATAGGAATATGGTGGTTTATCATCAGATCAAATGGGATGACGTGTCAGTCTCTCTCACACTTCTGTCAGACACATTCTGACATTTTATTGTCTGCGATCCAAATCTGGATGACATATATAAGCTGTAGCAGGTAATAATATTTATGCCAAGAAATAGACACCATTGATGGCTAGTAACATAATAAACTGATACAGTCGAAATACTGCAAGGAAATTAATCAATTTAAACAAATAAGACAGACCTTGAGACATGTCATACATAAATTTATATGGACTACAGATTAGTAACGGATGGTCAGTAAGACTTATTTATTTTCTATTCTAACTGCCTATTTTTCCTTTTGTGACTCAAATAATTTTAATGTACTGACAAATGTTTGATATATGGTATTACAAGCATTTTCAATTCCTGCAGTTGAAGTGGCACTAATGATAACATGGAAGATGTTAGTCCTAAACATTTTAGGGACCAGTATACAGTACACTTATGACTTATTTCATGGCTACATGGAATGTTCGTTTATAGATAAATTACTAAAAATTAAATGCTCGTTTTAAATACTATGCAGCAAAGTAGTAGAGCCAGACAACGCAAATGTTTTAATGTTTGAATATAATTTTGTTTAATAAGACACAGCCAATAATCCATCTTAATGTTACCTTAAGGAATGACAACAAATGTGAACAGTAATCTCACATTTTTGCTGTTATGCATGGTCATGTACATTCCAAGAAACAATGTTCACATGCCAAAATTAAATACTGGTAATGATATCGCTACACTCAGACCATAGATTCATGCATATTCTATCTTAAGATGTTTATTAACAACAATTGTTTGATGGTTCAAGTAGTATAACAAAAGTCAGTATGGCTATATTTAACAGTGGTACTAACCTAATCAAAGAAAATAGGTTTTTGGGACAAAATTTCTGAAAACACAGAAAGAACATTTTCCTTCTGTACTTTATAGCACACCATTGCTATTTTTGCCATCAAGTTTGGTATACATTTCAACTTCTTATTAATAAGAACAATGGTGTTAAATGCACAGTGTAATCACCATTTAAATCCATAGAAAACATAAATAGCGGCGAATTTATAATGGGACAAAAAGTCTCATAAGAAATACAGTTTCAATCCGACTGAGAGCTCTGTCTCAAATGTATGCCCGCTAGACCAGCACGTGAAGGATGATGTACAGATTTATAATCTTCACTTTCAGACTCTACACACAAAGCAATACATCCCCACAAAGGTGATGACAAAAATCTTTGTGAAGAAAAAAGAAGACTATACGGACATCGTGGCCCATTAAAAGGCATCATTCAGGAATGTGTATGGTAAAAATGAAGGAGACTACAATTTAGCAGCCAAGACAACTTTTCATCCAGCACAGATTCAAGATGGGTATCTCACAAATACAAAGGAGTGCTATCCACGTAACCATAACATCTGCTGGGGTAACAGAAACATAACATTCCAATATGCTTCGATGCAGAAAAATCATCATCGAAAGCACAGCTCAATAAAGCAATGAAGAAAAAAGAAAGCTCTAAATCTGTCAGCAAAGGGAGATTATGCATAACACCACAATTATGAGGCAATGAACCAACAGCAGGAAGAGAGCAAGAAAACAAAGTCCCAGAAGTGTAACAAACTGATGGCATAGTCCTCACTTGTCACAAGCCATTTTATACACATCAGATCAACGCCATTTCAGATGTTTAATTCTATATTTTAGGCTCAGGTAAACCATGGGCTCTTAACAGAGCAAGAAGTCAAAAGAGAACTGAACTGTAAAATATGAGATAATGGTGATAGTAAATGAAGAATCCTAATAATCAATTTGTCTGAGCAATTCCTTTGTTCCCTCCACACACTGAAAACTCCAATATTACGAACTTCTTTCAATGGGGAAAAGAAGACGAAGCTAAGCGTATGGAGAAAAGTGGAGTAATAATTACATCTAGGATTTCAGATTATCATGGGGATAAGTCAGAAGAAGGCTGCCTTCTGCATTGTAGCGCCGTGTAGTCTGGTAGAAGTTTACCAACGTTTCAGAGGTCCTTGCTGCCTCTATCATCAGGGCGACGAGGCTCACTGTTGGTAAACTTCTACCAGACTACACGGCGCTACAACCCAGAAGACAGCCATCAATAACTATATGTTCTTATAAATAAGATTCTGCCATAGCATAATAATGAATCAAATACACAGGATCAATCACAGCACATGAATTTCCTTGGTTCATGTACACTGTTCAAATTCTTAAATCTGTTCCAGATTGTACTTATAAGTTCCAGTAACATTTAAATACATCACACATTCATTGAGAGTATAAGTCAATACATTCATGAATCACCACAGCAATCGGTATGGACTCAACATCGTTACCTTTTGAGCTGCGTAGTGTATTATTAAAAATTAAAGAATAACATGCAGCATCATACTAACACTAGCTGAAAGCAGAATTCTATGATAAGTATTTTATTTTTAAAATGATGATCATAGGCAGACATGAATGCTATTAAAGTTTTTGCAGTAGATGGGAACAAAATGAAGCCCATTTCTTGACTCATAAGCAATTCTTAATATGCTTCATTCCTTAAGTATAAAAGAATATTAAAATCCCACACAGAACTTACATTCTAGTGCTTTCATTATGAAGTGCAGAAACAAAACAGGTACTTGTATTACATATTACACATCAGCATTCAGATATCTCACTTTTGGTTTCAACAGATTCTAACAATTTTCCACCTTACATAACATGTATCTCATATGTTAGCACACTGTCAACAAACTGCAAAAAATATTATTCCTTACATTATTTTAAATTTATTACATAAAGTAGCAAGGAACTGTTATGGGCACACATTAAATGACTGTCATTGTTTAAATAATGAAGTCACTCAGACGTATTGTTTCTAAAAATAATAAAAGCGATGCAGAAAACACCTTCAAATAACTGCTCTGAAATTATTTTGTAATACAGAAAATCAGAAAAAAAATATTACAATCATACACATACAGTGCTACTCAACATTGTAAGGCTGTCATGGCCAGCTGGACAGGAACAAATAAATATGGATAGCTGACATATTCTTCTAAAACAGAAGGACGCATCAACACCTAAGAAATAATGACACAATTTTGCTGTTCCCATTATTATATGTACCAAACTCTATCAGTTTTGTGTTCATCAGAAACAATGTGTCTGATGAAGTGTCCTTTGACATCACACAAGTGAATGCACCTTTCTTCACCCAAGATTTTCTTGAAATAAAATGTACTAAATTATGCAAATGCTTAAATACTGCAACAGCCTCATGAAAAAATATTCCTGTTGATCAATATTCTGCATATTTACAATGAAATCTTACTGACCTCTGTTCTATTATTTACTGCTATAGAGCTGCATGGTGATCGCCTGACACGTCCAATGCACGGAATCAAACTTCCATAAATTCTGGCTACACAGATGGGTAATTGTACAAAATAATTATGTCTTAAAGACATCAATATTAAGGTATAAAGTATAATGTCTTTGGCTCAAAACTGTCAATGTTTTAAAGAGTGTTTTCACTCTCTTACGCTGGTAACATTTTTCTCATGTGGATTTTGGCATTACTCCTAAACTGCTATTGTGAAGTGTTATCTGGTATAAAGACGGCTCAGACTAACTACTAAAGTTCAACCACTTTAAATTTTTCATTGTGTTTATGGAATTAAAATTTACAGCAAGTCAAAAATGGCCTTACATCTTGAGTAAACTACATTAACATTGACAATCTTTTTCAAACATTTGGATTCAAACTGAAACAAACTGGGGTAGCATCTTCATTACCTCCACGTATTCAGAAATGTAATGCCACTGAAACTGTTCCTCAATGATAATTACATAGTGACATACAAGAAAAATAATGTACTATGACAAAACAGTAGTTGTCACAAACAAAACCCAGACAGGATGATCACTGAGAAAAATAATTTTATGTATATAAGAAGACTAATGACATAAGGTAAACAGTTAGTATGTATATAACTTCGGATTTTGGGAGACAGCTGTGTCACAATATTTGATGTTAACCAACATTCCGACAAACACCGCACTTGCCATTTACAAGGTCATTACAGAAGCCAACCAACCAACCAAAAAGCTAACTGAGGGCGGAATCCTGTGCACAAGGCGCATTGCTGGAAATGGTAAACGGTCTTAATATAAAAAACGGAAATTTTGCTGGCGCTAACAGGGTTACGTCATTACAGAAGACTTTCTATATATATATATATATATGGTAGGCAGTGGATGCAAGATGAATTTGCTGGTGCTGGTTGATGGAATAGAGGAGCTCGCTGCTATCCAATGGGAGAGGAGCACGTGATTGAGGAGAGTAAGTGAATTTCTTGCCACCACATTTCCTGCACCATGTGCTCCTCTACCATTGGATAGCAGCCAGCTCCTCTACTCCATCAATCAGCATCAGCAAATTCATCTTGCATCCACTGCCTACCATATATATAAAGTCTTCTGTAATGATCCCAACTCATCCACCTTCAAAATAGCAACTGCAGTGTATACTGAAACGTTGGTTAACACCAGATACCCGACGCGGCTCTCACCTGAAAGTCAGAAATATACACTGAAATCCAGCCATGAAAACCTATGGACAAAAGTTTTTATACTTTATTAAGTAAGACCTCATGCCCCAGGGTGTAGAAAATATTAAAAATGTAAAGTCTGATTGATGACAAAAGATATTAACAATGTAGTAATAACTGAAATTTAAGCATATTTGTCTAAAGTGGTTGAAAAATATTTTCATTTATATCATTTCACTTGTAATTTTAACTGGTCACACAATCAACAACAGGCAACATGGTGGACGAAAGCATGGTGTTGATGGAGAATGATGAAAAAATATCCCTTAAAATGCTAATACTAATTACAAGCATAAACAAATTTTACACAAATAAATGTCTGTTTATCATCAAGCAGTTCAACCCTCACGGAAATCTAAATATTTTAGTGGCACTTTTCAAGAACATACGAACTGCATAAATGGAAAAATTCTTGCAGTAAAGACTGAAAATCCTAATTAACCCCATGCAATAGTCTTCCTTGAGAAGCTAATGGTCATCTACCTAGTCCAAAAATTCCATGACTTTTATGGGATTTGAAGGTTCATTACTGCCAAACAGCTTGTCACTAGGCCAGTCACGAGTCACTTGAATCGAGTCAACCTCATGTTCTACTTCTTGACATAATCCTCCCATCTACATCTAGGTCTCCCTTCTGTTTTAATTACAACTTTATATGCATTTCTTGTGTGTCCCACATGCATTACATGACCTGCAATACAAAAATCTGAACATGATGTAAAGAAACTGAAAAAATGAGTTTACTTCTAATTTCAAAAATCACAAGCACCTAACATAAAAAGGCTTTCTTAGAAACAACTGCATGTATTAAACTCCAAATCAAATAAAGTATTTTACTGACAAACGTGCTTCATGCATACTCTGCTTGTTGAGCTTTGGTTGAACTTCTCACCTGCTTTTACATTTCGTACAATTCTCATTTATCATATGGAAATACTACTATTCATATGTGTTTTAAAGTTTCTTACAAAAATATGACTAATGTGTGTGTCACACAATGTGATGTTAAACTGGAAAAGCCCATGTTCATTTCATTGACATTCAGAGTGCGAGCAGTAAATATTAATAATAAGAGATTACTGTCATATTTTGTAACAGAATCAACTTACACAAAGAAAAAATGTAAATTTAAATTATAGTCACTTAACGCCCCTTTATGAACAATACAAGACCTTTTAGTTCCCTCGACTTCTTTCAGCTTCCATTTTTTCTTTACCTAACACATATAATGACATTTAAAAGCATTTTTGATGGTTAATTAGCAGTTAGATAAATCTTTGCAACTGTCGCACACATCAATTAAAATGATGAGCAATGATGAAAAGTTTATTAATCTTTATCAACTTTAAAAATGCGATGCCAAACACAGTGTGTTGGCCCACTTCTTTAAAAGTTTCATTTTGGAACCTAAGATCCCGCTTTTATTCTATAACTCGTGAAACTCAATAAGCAATGTTGGGTTAGTAAGTTGCGTGTTAGTACAATGCTAGCATAATTATTACTTTCGTTAGGTGGATATTCTTGTATAATAATACATGTTACTTTAAACCATTATAGTATTGCATTTCTCTAAAAAATTGTAACACTTTTATACAATAAATATACTACAGAACACACAATAATGCAGTTTTATGGCAATACATTTATAAATAAACACATTTTCTTATTACTGACAATAGTAAGTTCAGTCGTTTGTTATAACGATGAGGGTAAAAAAAGGAGTGGCAAAACTCCTTCAAGTCTTCCACCAATATTGCTTCTAGAATTATTCACTTCACAAATCCTAGTCCTAAACAACAATGGCACTAACAACAGTTTAATGCTCAAAGATACAGAAGCCTGTAGTGTCAACATTATTGTGCCTCATTATTTTTCTCAGAAAAGGCAGTATCATACAGAAGATTCTACTTTATTTCTTTTTGGCAGTAAGTATTAGTCTCTGTTTCCATATTATTATTATTATTATTCTGTTGTTCAGTAATATTTATTTGCAATATTCAATAATAATTATACTAAATATCTACAAAAATAACATTAACATAAAATATATTACTGTATACTTATAAACCCTCACTTACGTTTGTGAGCACACACATGAAGGTTATTGTTTAGAGGGGCATAAGCATCCGGACTTTCTTCATAATTACGTATAAAATATTAAGTGCTTGTTAGCTGCTTATGAATTATTCATATATTTGATTGCATTCAAATAGACTTGATTGTAATTTTAAATTTTAAATTATGTACATGCTTCTTCTGTGAGAATGTTAAGAGACGCAACTGAATCGGCAGCTTTAAGACCACACGTTATACCCCTTTACAACAAATATGAAAACTTGGCTCTTGATTTCTTACCATATATTTTTCAACAGAGAAAACATTCATAACTGGGTAACAGAAGTATGCTTAGAGAAGTAAAATTTACTTCTGGAGATTGTTTTGAAATATACTGTACCACTATCATGCAGGAAATTAAATTTGAGACAGCTGTTTGTATACACAATATGCAACTGCAAGTGTTCGTCCCAATCTTAAACAATGAGCACAAATGAGTAAAGTATAACAGCCATAAAACAAACAGCATTTATTGCTAGGATGAAGAATATTTGAAGAATGAAGAAGCTGAAAGATTCACCGCTGGGAGCTGTGGATGTGTGTTGTGAGGTGTTTGGACAGATAGTCTGCACGGGCAAAGCATTTGCCGCACATTTCACAGTGATAGGGACGTTCGCCGGTGTGGATGCGCAGATGTCGAGTCAGATCACTCTTCCCTCCAAATGCTCGGCCACAAAATAAGCAAACAAATGGACGTTCTCCAGTATGCTTGCGCACATGAAGTTTCAGGTTTTCTTTAGATCTCACACATTTACCACAAAATGGGCATGCAAAACGACGCTCACGCTGTCTCTCAGCAGCATCCAGGCGCAGCAAATTAAAAAGCGATGCTTCCTGTGCAGACCTGAATGCATCACCACCACCATTTGAAGCCATTGTAAGTGCAAATGCAAGAGAATCAATTGTCTCGTCCTGCTCCCCATCCAGTATCCGATCAGACTTAGCGCCCCTTCTTGTAAGTGTGTTAGTTGCATCAGTAAAATTACTGCTACTCCCATAATAGTAATCATCCAATGAAAATTTGTAGAAGTTCTGCTGCTCCATTTTGGATACAGGCACACTTGCTGCTCGCTCAAATGAAGATGCACCACAGGTGTTCATATCATCTGCCACGTTGCTTACGACAGCCTCGTTTGAACTGGACACCTGGTCACTGCCGTTCTCTGCGGATGGGAGCATTGCCATGGGAGGAGCAGTCACCCGGCCACTCTCCCTAGCACCTGGCAAAGTTGGCGAGAAGAACGTAGCATCACCATTCAGCCGGCTTCCTCCCTGCATCATCATCAACATTTTATTACTGTAATCTGTTGAAGATTCTGGGATGTTTGTGCTGCTTCGAAAAACTGACCTGTCAGCAAACGGCCCTCCGTTATTTCTCACAGCCCTGGCAAATGTGTCTAGATCAGGTGGTGATTTTGAGTGCAGTTTTTCAAGTGCATGATTCAGACGATGCTTCTTGAAAGACTTTAGGTATCGGAATTGCATGCCACATACATCGCAGGTAAACAGTTTGTCTGCAGGAAGTCTTGCTCGATGGTTCTGTTCACGATGTTTCAGAAATGCCGAACGATAGCGGTAACTCTGCCCACACTGATCACATTTAAAGGGCTTTTCCTCAACACCCTCGCCTTCGTCAGTGCCTGGCTGTGAAGCATGTTGCAGGCTCGTGTGTTGTTCCAAGAGCCATGCTGATGGAAATGCTGCTAGACAGATGCTGCAACGAAACATTCCCCCGCTCACCGGACCAACAGAAGATCTCCCTCCGTCCTCTGACAAAGGAGAAGCTATCAGGCCTTGCTGCTGAAGAAGACTTAATATCGAGCAGTTCTGCCTACTAGTACCCTCCCCACTACCACCACCCTCACTTCCAGCAGCAGGACCACTGTAGCTACTGCTGAATGGTGGGAAAGGAAACTGGAATGGTGTGGAAGATCTACTATTGTGATTACTTATCTGAGCTTCTGTCCCATGATGCCGTGCAGCTGCTACTGCACACGAGGGTCCATACCGCCCATCCACAACCATGACATCCTGTAAGGCACACAATCCCAAAATAAACAATGGTTCCCACAGCCCAAAGCAGGATACTCACATTTAAACGTTCGAAGCATATACTAGGGAGAAGGATTCTTATCAGGGCACACTGGAGTGAAGTCAGAGCAATATGCCAAAGTTTAGGGCAGATGGATAAAGGTATTATGATGATGTCCTTACATTTTATGGTTACGGTGTCACTTACACTAACTAAAAATATAAGAGTGACAAAGAGTTAAAACAACCGTATATTTTCTATGCTTGCATTTTATCCCTAATCTGGGTACATCTTATGACTGTTTCATATCAAACAACTTTTTACATCATTTTATTTGTCAAAATTTTTTACAGCTATGATATGCATGTTTTGTTTGAAGAGCATAAAAATAAAGCCTTGCAGAATGGCAAACATATAACTTCTATAACTGTAATAGTGTACAAGAACAGAAGCAAATATATATCACATAATGTAACATTAATAATAAAAAAAGGATAAAAGCATAGGAATTTGCAACTGACTTAGACTTTCAAAAAAGCAGATCCATACTAGTGCGTTTCAGATACGTTATGGATACAATTTATTATCTATAAACAGGAACATGAAAGGTCTGTCTGGAGAGACTCCCCACACACACAACTGAGGACACATTATTCAGCAAGTTGTTCTGGTACATACTTAATAATATTCATTCCATCACTGCCATCTTTTGATATGTAAATGTAAATTGCAAGCTTAAAATTACAGAAAATTAATTTTCAAATATCTGAAATTAGGAATCATACAAATTACATTTTGCAGACACAACGGCTTCGGCGTTCAGGTACAAAGTAATTTGAATATATGTAATAAAATGAAGTATCTTTTTTATGTTAATTAATAACCCTTTCAGAAGAATTTACTTGTAACGTACAAAAAACTGTAATGTAAAATCTGGCAGATGATGAAGTATCAGGGTGTCTCGTTGAAATCAAAATTCAATTTTTATTGTACCAGCAAAACTTGCAGAATTACTTTACACCAACAGTTGGAAAGGGACTGCCTAGGATTCAGGATTGTAAGGAACTTCTGTCACAGCTGATGAGCCGGAACAATGAATATTATGTACTGGGCTGAGGCATGGGCACTGGTTAACAAAGAGGGATGATGGTTTCTCGCTCAGACAATATGGCAACAATTACATGAACTTAGATGTTTGCACAGCATCCAATACATCAGTTTTATCACTCAATGTGGTCTCATCACACAGCAAAATGATCCACTCACTAGCCAAAGGGGCGTGTAACCAAAATAAGTCCAAATTTAGCTGCATCAGTTTCAGTAAGACATAAATATATTCAAATACTTTAACAAGTAATCTTGGAATGGCACACTATACAGATTAAGAGAAAATTAGACCACAGCTGCAAAACAACAACAAAATTCCTTGCAGTTCATTGTTGAGAGAAGCAGACTACATATAAACAACATAACTTCTCAAATGCACATTAGGTACAGGTCCTAGATTACAGGCTACTCTTTAACATTTTAATAGTACAAACAAAAATGAATTTAAAGATAAGACATCATTTACTGCATTTGAGATAACTTAAATCACAACAAAAATAATTCTGTAGGAAAAAGACTAATTAACAAAACAGGAATTTGATTGAGTACCTTAATTACAAAGACCATTAGGAAACAGCATCTTTGTTTAAATTCTTCTCAACAATCACCTGTTTACAAGAGCATTTTTCTTTTATACAAATAAGCTGCAGATTTAAATTGTCCATAACAAACTATCACAGTGTTATCTGCAATTCAAGTTTTATGTTCTTTTGTGTTCTTGTAAGAATAACACATTCATATCAACACTTGCTCTCAAAACATGTAACTTTTTTGCAACAAACTTCACGCTTAGAAAAATACAACTTCAGTCAGGGAACAATATTCTTGTACCAAGGCAAGCCACAGCCAAATGAAGATCACTTTCATCTTGCATTGAGTACATGTTTAATTACTCAAAATGCATAATTAAGTCATCACCATCCTAACAATCCACCATAAATACACGCATCAAGCAATCTTCCGTATCCTCACACCTATACATCCGACAACACAGCACTATTCCATAATTTCAAAGCAGTCTACCTTCCCTTCAGTGAATAGTACATGTCACATATTAATTACTTAACACTACATGATTCATCACAAAAATTAACTGCAAATGTAATTAATTTTTTTGTATTGTGTATTTATATGCACTCCAAAGTACCAACCATTCAGATGCAACCATAACAATACACTGCAACTAATATGTCCTTAATTTAATTTAATTAACCCTCTGAAACTGAAGTTCAAGTATTTAAAAATTCATTCCTACCACAAAGAAAACACAACGCACCTACATTACAAAGATCAATTTGTTAATACTGTTTAAGGAAATGATCACTATTTATTATGAGAATCATACAAAATCCATAAATACACGTTTTGCAGAGTTAATAAATCTTAAAACAGGTGGTACATATCTTTATTGTTATCACAGGTTTTAAAAGTTGTGAAAAGCAATTGCTTTTAGAGATTTGATATAAGGTCTGGCAGATATAGACAATTTTCCCAAACACGATTTCCATCTCCGTACTTATTAAAAAGTTACGTTTGTATCTCTCTTTTCAAAATCGAAACTTTAGCGAACTCAACTGAGAAATGACAGTAAGACAGCAAAACAATTTGTAGTGAAGTTAACTGTAAGCTTAATGCAATGGACACCTCCGTATTACTTTCTAAGACAATTTGCGCTTAATACAATCATGATGGATTCATCTGAGGCGGCAGTTATGCATGATGCACGGTAATGCTTACTAACCCTTAACTGCCATGCAGGATAATGGTATCATGTACATGAATTGTATTGTACATGCTGTATGTTAAAGGTTAAGTCTGATTTCAAATAAATGAGGAAAAATTAAGATGCTGTTATATACAAACAACTTTTTAGATCATAAATTTCTCGATGTGGGATATGACCCAAAGGGGACAAAATTAATGTCGTTACTATGCACTGTCCACATCCTGGGAAGCTGAGACACAGAAGATCTTCCAACAACCTGAAATTCTATTGTACGCTTAAAAGTTGGTGCTTTTATGAAACATGCTTTGAACTATATCTTAATTTCCAAACATGCTTTAAACTATATCTTAATTTCCAGAGTGCGCACATGTAAAATAAATGTGATTGATGGCCTTGCAAATAATTTATCAGTATTATACATCTGAGGAGAAAAATTTTGACATTTCCAACTTCAGATCTTAAATAATAATAAAAATAACATGTTATCACCAACAAAATGATGTTACATAAAACACAATATCAGTTAACTTGATACATCACAGCAGTCAGATCTCCTGATCAAGAGCGAAAAATTTTACCTGTAAGTTCACTTCAAAGATTTCAAAGATATCAATCAGAAAGTTATTCTGAAAGGTACAGGTGAGTTAACTGATAGTGCACACATGGGTCAGTGACACCTTTATCAAGTCTACTTTTTCATTCTGTAGATGAAATTACCCTACAACTGATTCTCTACAGTTTTGGAATTCCAGACACTCATATTTTAAACGATTAGCTTTAAGATTATAAAATATAAATATAAACTGAATGCTAAATTCAACCAGGACACATTTTTGAATAATCACATCTTATTAAAATTGTGCAGCATAAACGTTCATTTAAATTATACATTAAAAAACTTTTCTGGCTTTAATGATGGTGTGGTCCAAGTTTTACAGAAAGTGTATACAAGAACAAACAACAAAAGAATATAAAAAAGGCCACGCACATTCGGGTATTTGTTGGCTTAGTCAGAAGAAAAATTATGGGTCAGAGCAGATCAGTCAGTATAGTGTCTGACTGGACTGGGTGAATGGGGCCACCTAACTACTAATCTCCAATGGGTACCACAGGTCCTTTGCCTGGTGCGTGATGCTAAACACTCACCAAATCTGGTGCTGAGGTCGAGAATGAATAGAAGCTGTACCTTCTCTCCCACTACTGCAACTTCATGGAGTGTAGCAGGACAGCTTTACTTCACTCATAACAGAAATCAATTCCATACAAAAATGTGTAGTACAGGGTTTGTAGGTGAGTGAATGTCAAAACACTTGCACGTGAACAATTGTGCCCAACTATAAGTTTCCCTAATGATGAAGTTTGCAATGACTCGAAGTGAATGAAGGCTAATGATGTGGTTATGCCCTAGCCAAAAATTTGCTACGTAGTTTGATTGTCCAAAATGTGATTTTAACACTTTAATGATACTGGGGATTCATACAAAGGGATTAAATATCCTAGGTCGTGACCTCCTGAGATTTCATATTAGCTAAGGAAATTGCTTTTTTTTTTTTAATGTTCAGAAAGACTGGCCAGTGAAATCACAAACATCCTTGAACATGAAGTGAAAGTATCAGATTATATCACAAAGATATTTTTTATTTATTGGAATATTTTATATCACTTCTGGCCAAGCATCCATAAATGTTTATTCTCATATTAGTATAAAACAAAATTATTCATTATAATAATTTAAATTAGATGGAAGAACTAATTTAATTCAAAGGAGCCAGCGTTAGGTTTACTCACGAAGCAACATCTGGCATATGGGTGATAAAGTGGCAGACGGCTTCATGTACGTGCATCAAGTGATTGACTGTTCTTACCCAGATCATGAACCACTGGAAAGTTTTACTAACATTACTGTTTCACATTGAAGAAAAGTTCAGGCTATGATCATAATAACAAATGTATGAGACACCTTCGGTGAACATTATTACAGGAAAACTGCGGGTCCCTACCACAAACAGAATGAATTCACTATGAGGACAAATGCTACAGTTAAAATATTTTCATGATACAAACGCGTTTTGAAACTGCTTCTGCAAGTAATTATACATTCAGCAGTTTTGCTACACTGTATTCTTTTGTACTCTAGAATTATCAGAGATGGGAACCAAACTCCAT